TTTGTTAGGGTGACCACAGAGTCCAAGATAACTCTTGACAAGCACCTCAGTCTATTCCTGCTACTATCAAAAAGTGCTACAGTCTGTGGATAATTTATGAACAGTAGAAATTGATTGCCTCCAGTTCTGGAGGCTGAGAAGTCTAAGATCAAGGCACAAACATTAGTGACCGGCCAGGGTCTTCTTGCTGCATCCTCACAAGGAAGAACGAATGCCATGTCCTCACGTGGTGGGAGGTAGAAGGGCAAAAGGGGACTAGTTCTCTGCAGCCTTTTGGTAAGGCTCTAATCCTATCTATGAGGGCAGAGCCCTCATGCCTTAATCACCCATTAAAGGCACCACCGCTTCGTACTGTTGCATTGGAATTTAGGTTTCGACAAGAATTTTGGAAACAACACAAATATTTAAACCATAGCAACCAGTATCTGATAGACTTAAGCAACAGCTTTCTCAGGACTGCAAGCAGATAAACAGTAGGAAGAGTGGAAGAAAGCATAGCTGTGTTCAGGAACCATGTTTTCAGCAACTCCTTTCTAAATATCTTTAGAGGTTCTTGAAAAACCATTCTAATAACATATATTATTTTTTTGTAAACCTACACAGTTACCTTGTCAAAAAATGATTTGGATCTTTTTATCACAGCAGAGGCGAAAGTGATTCTGAAGGCAAATATTTAAAGTAAAAAATACATTGTTTGCTCTACCCCAAATCACAAACAACAATCATTCTCTCTGCTAAATAGATTTAGAATACTCTATGATACGCTATGAGAACGTTTTTACTCAAGTTGGACTTTATCCCCAAAACTCCAGTTTGCCCTGTAGATAATAAGCAGAGCTGAATTACTATTATTTTTTTTCCTTGAGCACTATCCAGGGTAGAATTGCATGGCTATGTGTAGGCATGAGATGCAGCTACACTCCTTTGAGAGGAGCTATGCAAGTAAAAAGCATCGTTAGTATTTCTTTGTTTTAATATTCTGCATTTTTATTCCCCAAGCCTAAACGAAGACTTTTCTCAGCTGATGCACAACTAGAATACACTGTTCTTACGATCATTTAGCAAAAATAAGCTCTGATAGAAGGTCAAGAAACCATTCTCACCATGTTCTTGTGTTGAAGAATCCAGCTCGGGCTAAATCACTAGTTCTTAATTTCATAAATATGTATTTCACTGGGAACAATTCTCCCAAGTCAGCTATGTTACTTCTGCAAGTGACACACAGGGCAGGGATAGGCAAGGCTAGCTTCGTCAAATCCCAGGATTCCCACCCCACCAAGTGATGGCGGGATATTTCGCTCCTACAGTGCTTCCTTTCTAGGATGTATAGTGGGTAGCATCAAGACACCAATTCACACAACAAATTAACATTCATCAGGGTTTTTTCTTTCATTTTATTTTCTGTTTTCTGTGTGAACTTAAAGCAGTGTGGAAACAACTGCAGTTCCTTAAATGAGGTATAACCCTGCCAGCCCCAAGAACATCTCCAGACATGGAAATGGAAGGGAAGAAAAACCAAGCAGACATGGAAAATATCTCATTACTTCGGTGTAAAAATCTTAATTAGTCCCAAAGGTTTTTCTCACACATTTTCAAGCAAAATCAGGTAGATCAGAAGAGGAAATGTATGTCAATCAATGTCTGTGAGAGCCAGCCAGCTGTGGCCACCCTACGTCTATGACATGACCCTCTACACTCACATTTGTGGTTGGTTAAGATTTTGTTCCATTCAAAATTGCAGGTATATAAGTGGAATTGCACCGATAAACGAGCTTTTCTAATTGAGTTCATCCTTGTAAATTAATAAAAATTCCTGCCAATCAAACATGTGCATGTTTGCAGGAATATTATCAGTAGGTAATGGAGATAATTAATACTTCATGACATCAGGGTCTGAAATTAAAATCAAATCTGAGACTTAACTGCGATTATTAAATCTGAGGAAAATTATCTTTCAGATGACAAGTGTCACAACCTTCAGCACCTGAATTAATAACAGGGAGCAAGTCTCCAAAAACACAGTGCACGCTCTGTCTTTCCGTGTTGTAATAATTGCCATTTCACGACATCGAGGACCTGTACCTGGCTCAAGAGTATACTGCAGATCAGGAAAGTACCATTGCCATAGAAAGCACAAATTTGGGGCAACTTATCTAGTAGCAAAATATAATCGAAAGAGTAGAGGATTAGATGATGGAATCCAGATTATGTCCTGACTCTTAGAGGACTTGGGACTTTTGGCTTAATCTTGCATGTATTCTTCTATTGTACTCTAGCCAAAGAAATCCTTTCACCTACCTGACTCTTAGTTCTTACATGATATGAAGCTATTTTCTGTTCTGTTTATAAGAGTCACTTAACAATCAAATAGAAGAGTTTATTGAGTCATTGGAAACATTATGACACACTTTTGCATAGAAAAATATGTCATGATTTTTCCAACAAAGCAATATTTATTTATTTATTTATTTATTTATTTATTTATTTCACCAATTCTCCAGTATGTTCCAGCCAGTAAATGGAGCATTTAAAAAATAAATATTAGAGAAAGAAAGACATAGTCCCTGATCTCAAAGGACATCATGACCTGGTGAGAAAATTGTTTACATTAGGCATAGTATGAAAGGGAATCAAGGAGAAAAAGAGAGAGACAAGGCATTTAAGGGACACAGAAAATGGAGAATTGCCTGTTGATGAAAATGTGCATGATGATATCTTTAACTAGACAGTGATCAGTGTCATCATGCTGGGAAAATTCATTTTATAAGCTGTGGTGAAGTACAGTGATTGAATGTATAAAATAATTTTTTAAAAGATATTATCGGGATCAAATAAAAGAAATATAAAAGCATACTGAGGTAGGGTCAAGCTCAGAACTGATGGGAGGCATGTCAGGTATGGCAGGAGTGGTGCCCAAGAATGGTTAGTGGGGAGACTTCCCAAAGTAGGTGAAGCCAACAAAGAGTCTTAGAGGGCTAGCATCTTTTAACAGATAAACATTTAAGGGAACAACAAAACTGTTCCTAAATTATTTTTCCCACCTCAACTAGATTACAGTGGTTGATTTCCAGGGAATAGTTACTAATATGTGACTACCATAGGTACATGACAAAAACAAGATACTATTTCCCAAAGCACAGCTACATTCTGGAAATAGAGGCATAAAGTTTATAAAAAGAAAAAAAAGAAAGTAACATGCCTGGGGGCAACTAATAAGAAACTCATAGAGCTAGGATTTAAACCATGTAGCTTAATCAGTAGGAATATGGTCTCAATTTTATTTATTTATTTGTAAAACCAATAATTACTGAGGTTAGGGAAAAAAGAAAAAAAAAATTTTTTCATAGGTACAGTATCCCAATGGAGCAGGCTGCATTGAGGGCAGATTACAGACCCAGAGAGGAAGTCCAATACTCATCAGGAAGTAGTCATGGAGACCCAACTGGTTTATAAGGATGAGAAAAGAGAAGTCAGATCATGAGCCCAATATATCACAGACTGAGGACTGAAGGATAATTCTAGACCCTACCTTAGAGTATCTAAGTCTTCTTTGACTGTGGCTTCCTCCATTGAAGCTGACCCAGTGATTGGAGTAGGGCAAATGTTCTAGGTTCTTGCAGCTGGGATTACAGGGGTAAGTTGTTCATCTGGATCAGATAAATCTCTTCTGCCAAGGGGTAGATGCCAGTGATGTCAAAAGTACAACTGTCCCTCTTTCAATCTCTTTTTTTTTTTTTTTTTTTTTTTTTATTTTAAGAGGGTCTATAGGGTACATGCACTTGCCAAAGAGAAGGAGAGACACAGAGAGACAGAAAGTGAGAAATCATTCCCCATCAGGGATGGCCATGTTAGCAATCCCTTCTCCTCCATTCTTGTCTTGGGATCTTGGGCACACATGCACACGTGCTTGGCATGAGTTTTAAGCTGCGGGGTCCAGGACTTAAACTGCGGTCAACTACATGGGAGTCCAGTGATATAATTAGGCCATCTGCTGGTCCCCACACTATTACTCTTGAAAAATGGATCCTGAGACTTTCCCTTCTGTACAACTGGGCTGTAACTTGGGTGGTATGCACCAGTGTATGCCTACACTGGTGGTTAAAATACGGAAAATTATCCTTGTTGGTATGTAAATAACCACTGTCCAAACTTCCCACCTCCCTGCCTTTCTAACCCCTACTTCAGGATCATACAGATCTCAGAAGACCTTCAGAACCGCCCTCTAGCATCAAGGCCAGTGTCTATCCTGTGGAACATGCTGGACACATACTTAAATGTTTTAAACATCATCCTTAAGTATCAGAACAATGGTACTCCCAATTGTCCCAGTCAGTTTCTGTTGCTATAACAAAATATCTTAGACTGGGTAATTTATGAATGCAGCAAATTTTACTTCTCACAGTTATGGAAGATGGGAAATCTAAAAAAGTCAAGACACCAGCAGACTTGGTGACTAGTAAGAGCTTTCTCTCTGCTTCCAAGATGATAACTTCTTGCTGTGTCTTCACGCAGAAGAGGGGACAAACACTGTCTTCACACAGCAGAAGGGAAATGGAAAGAAAGTTTAGGTGGTTCTTATGAGCCCTTTTATAAGGGCACTAATCCCATTGACAAAGGTAGAACCCTCATAGTTTATCACCTCCTAAAGGTCCCATCTGTTAATAGAACTGCATTGGGGATCAAGTTGCAACATAAATTTTGGAGGGACAGCAACATTCTAATCATAGTATCCATGCCCTGGGGGTCAATTTTTCTTGCCTCAGGCCCCACTTCCTGCTCATATATATTTGAAATCTCTTCTCAGCTATGACTGATGGGAAACTGTTGTAAAAGATAGAATTCAAACTCAATGCCAATATAGCCCGTGTCCTTTCCCAGCTCACTACTGTTTTCCTACCCTCTTATTTGATTAGAATCCTCTATATTTTACTCTCTATCTGAGACTAGATGTTCAAATTATGTTAAGGCCAAGGGTCTGCTGACATCCAATTTCTGTTTACCTTTATCCATCAAAGCTTGCAATCCATTATCTCATTTCTTCTGATCTCATCAGACACTGGAAATCTAATTTGGAACAGAAAACAATTAGTGCTCTGGAACTGATGGTTGCCGGGGAGGTAATATAGACATTTGTCTAAGCACAGGGGTTAGCAGAAAGACTAAGGCTAGAGTCCTATCTCAGCTATTTAATAGGTTAATGACCTTATGTAAGTATTTTCATTTTTTTCAAGTCTCAATTTCTCCAACTATATAATGATATTAAAAGTATCTAACATACAAGTTTGCAGTGTAGGTTAAATGTGACCATGCAGATTAAATGTTCAGGAATGCTTTAAAACAAAATGCATGCTTAAAAACATTAGCTATTTGGGCCAGCAAATGGTGTAGTGCCAAAGCACTGGACTTCCACATGGCCAAATGTAGTTCGAGTCCCTGACCCAGTGATTTGAAACCTCATATTGGATGTGTGTGTGTGTATGCCTACAATCTCTAGAGAGAACAGAAGAGAAGGGGTTGTGGCGTGGCTATCTCCCCTGTCATCATCCCTCATTTTCTATCTCTTTAGTAAGTGCACACATATACCCTATAGCAAAAATCTCTCTTAAAAAAGAGAGAGAGAGAGATAGAGAGGCCGTTATCATTGCTTAGTATTGCCTTTGCAGTGTGCTGTACTCAACTCTAGAGAACAAGCATACTAAACATCCTAGTGTAGATCCTTGAAACCACATACAAAGTTGAGCAATATCATGATGTCTTAGTCTGTCTGAGTCACTTTAACAAAATACCGTAAACTACATAGGTTATACACAATAGAATTTTATTTCTCCCAGCTCTGGAAGCTGAAAAGGCTAAGATTAGGCTTCAAATAGTTTCATTGTCTGGTAAGGGTTACCTGTCCATGGTTCATAGCACTTTTTCTCTGTCCTCACATGGTAAAAGGGACAAGACAGCTCTGGAGCCTCTTTTATTTTTTATCTTTTAAAAAGAATTAATTATTTTATTGATAATTGTTATTAGTCTTTATTTGCTAAAGTGAAAAAGCAAGCTGCCACGTCCAGGATTAGAAATGCAGTGGGCCATGTGAGAGTCCAGCGCCTCAATCACCATGCCATCTGCTGGCCCTGGAGCCTCTTTTATAAGGACATTATTCCCATTGATGAAGGAGGGTTCTGTCCTCATAACCCAATCATCTCCCAAAGGCCTAAGCTCCTAATACCATCACGTTGAGGGTTAGGATTTCAACATACAAACTTTAGAAAACTGTAACATTCAGACCATTTGCACATAAGGATATTAGAAATAGTGCAAAAATAGAGAGATTTCAGCGAGATGCTTACCCTGCAGTCAGACACCTTTGCTTAATGAGGATGTGACTGAGTATTTCCACAGATACTATAAAAGCATTAGGATCAACTTTAAAATCTGGATCTCATGAGAGCCCTGCAGAAGAGTGGATTTGGAATGTACTTGTAAAGAGACAAACATATGCTGCAGTTGAAAGGTAGCTGAATTTCCACATATCTAGTCTCCTGGGAATTTGGTTCGTATTAGCATAACTAGAGAAACCACTTTTTGAGCAACTCTCCAATGCCCAGAGTTGTAATGGACCCCTGGTTGGCTCAGGAAACCCTGGTGGGTTGTGTATCTGCTGTGTCTGCTCCAGAGAGAGGGACCTGAAAAAGCCTCCCTCCCCTTGGAAGAATGTTTACTCCCTTCCTAATCCTCCAAGAGAAGGCATATGTTTCTTCGATTTGTTGTTTTCAGCAAGGTGCAGCTTAGGGGGGAGTGTGGATATGCTTGTATTTGCCATGAAATTAAATAAGAGCAATGATACATAGCCAATGTGCACCCATAAATTTCGTAAGGAAAATTCCAGTGTGGCATGAGGATAGAAGTAGCTGATGTATTAGAAAGGAAAGGCACTGAATCTTGTGCAAAATGAGAGAAACATAATTTCCCTGCATTATCTTGTCCCTTTCTTAATTGCCTACCAGGACGTATTCATCAACTGGCTTCCCCAGGTCCAAGCTTTCCACTTGCATGCATTTTCATATAAAACTGGCTTGTGTTTTAAGTATAAAACACAGTGCTCATGCTATCACACCAGACACAGCAAATGGATAAAAATCTTCACTTGTCAGTTTCTAGATACAACACACTGCATTTCGAGGCTGGAAAATAGGCTGCAAACACTGAGCAAGGGACAATAAATGTGGAGATTGGGATCATTCACTGGTCTATGCAAGGGGTCTGCAAGAAGTTCACGGAAAATGTATATTATGAAAAAACCATGCATGGATTTCAAAAATGTTTTGCACCAAAATAGATTCATATATTAATTCCATTTTCTCACTTTGGGAAGTGCCCTTGTGTATGCTGCTCAGCAGGCTTTAATGCAGTAGCGATTTTGTGCAGCTTTGAGGTTGGTAACAGGGAGAAAGAATGGCTGGTCACATAGATGACTCCCATCCCAGTGGGAAATATGCATTTCCTGTGCATATTATGCTTCAGTGTCGAGATTCCAAACTTAGAATCAGTTGCTGTGAGATGACTCCAGCTCCTTTTAACTCTTAAGTTCTGAGAAGAAGCTAGATTGGGAGATTGTGGGACAACTGGTGAGTCAGACACTTGATAAAGAAGAAAACATGAAGACTATCCAAAGGACGTACAGATAAATACTATAATGTCTCCTCCAGAAATACCTCTTGTGTATGGTTCAGAAGAGGCAGAATATAGAAACTGATAATGGTTTCCAAACCAATGTGCCACCAGGAAGAAGAGTGCCAATCAATATAATTTATTGATATAGTTTAATTGCCAGAGGGCATGTGGACTTGCCAGCAAGAAACATAGAGGGGAAGAAAGCATCTTGCAATAGGATATGGTCACTCAACAATGCCTTCTTCTCTATTTCTCCATCATATCGGGACTCAGCATGCACACACATGAGCCTGGCCTGTTATTCAAGCCACCAGGGCTGGGATTTGAACAGTGGTCAGCCATGTAGGATTCAGATCCCTCCACCACTAGGCTATGGTGCTGGCATGTCAATTAACTTAAAATCTTATGATTACCCTAATGGGAAAAAGAATACTCCCATCTGCCTGTGCTTTAAAAGGCATTATTTCTTCTGCCAGCTATGAAAATAGTGCAGTGAGAGCTTGACACATTCGACTAAAAATATATGGATGTGATTACTAGATTCAACACTTACTGTGTCATTTCTACAAAATTACATAAACTCATTTAGCCTCAGTCTCGTAATCTGTAATATGGGGATGATATGAACCTCCTAGTCTTATTGTAATGATTGAATCCAATATGCATGTTAGCAATGCATAGTATGCTATACATGTTAAGTGTCCTTTTCAGCTTTTCCTATTGTTGCACGAGGGCAGCTGTGTGTATCTGTAGAACTGCAGGGCACTTTGTTTCATACTTTAGATTTCTGAGGTCAAGAAGTTGTTATCCTAACTAGTTTTTAAAACTAGTTAGGGAACCAGCAGTTAGCGTAATGGTTATGTCGCTGGACTCCCACGTAGTCGACCGCAGTTCGTGTCCCGGACCCGGTGGCTTAAAACTCACGCCGGGCGCGTGTGCGTGCATGCCCAAGATCCCGAGAGGAGAATGGAGGAGAAGGGATTGCGGCGTGACCATCCCCCCTGGGGGGTGATTTCTCGCTTTCTGTCTCTATGTCTCTCTCTGTCTGGCGAGCGCACGCACCCTACAGTGAAAATCTCTCCAAAAAAAAAAATAAATAAATAAAAACAAAAATAAAAATAAAAAAAATAAAAAATAAAAAAAACTAGTTAAAGCTTATCTTCTTTGATTTCCTTCATCATTATGTTGAAATTTTCAGCTTATAGGTCATTCAAGTACTTTGCTAGATTTATACCTATTTCATTATGTGCTATTATTATTATTATTATTATTATTATTATTATTATTATTATTTTAGAGGTTTTTGCTATAGGGCGTGTGC